GGGCAATCAGAGAAAGGTGGTGAAGGAAGGGGCACAAGGGACAGAGCAGAACATGCAGAGGAGGCATTTGTAGGAGAATAAGATGAGGTGGTTTGAGCGGAGTATGGGGACAGGGCTGTTTTGGACCAAACTGTGAGGGAGGAACAGGTGCCAGCAGTAGCCTCAAAGCTTGCGTGGAGCTTCACTTGGCTCTTCTCCCTTCCACAGGTGATGGTGACAAATGTCACTTCCTTGCTGAAGACAGTGAAGGCTGTTGAGGACGAGGCCACTAAGGGGACACGGGCACTGGAGGCCACAATAGAGCACATACGCCAGGAGCTGGCAGTGAGTACAGCCATGGTGCACTGGCTGCCGTGCCTCTCGCTGGCTGCCCCACACCTCACCACTGCCTCTCGCCCTGCAGGTCTTCTCCTCCCCTGTGCCTCCTGCCAAGGTCTCCACCCCGGAAGACTTCATCCGTATGACAAAAGGCATCACGATGGCCACAGCCAAAGCGGTGGCTGCTGGCAACTCCTGTCGGCAGGAGGATGTCATTGCCACAGCCAACCTGAGCCGCCGTGCCATCGCGGATATGCTGCGCGCCTGCAAGGTAGGGCAGGCAGGGGACATGGATCTGGCATGTGTTTGTGGGTCGCTGGGGATGCTAGCAAGGATGGTGCTGGATATGAATTGGGGCTTCCCTGTCTCTGGGTTTCAGGAAGCCGCCTACCACCCGGAGGTGAGTGGGGATGTGCGGCAGCGGGCGCTGCGCTTCGGCAAGGAGTGTGCCAATGGCTACCTAGAGCTGCTGGAGCATGTGCTGGTGGTGAGTGTCCCTGCCCTGGTTCCCAGGGTGCTCCCAAATCCCTCAGCAACAAAATTCCCAGGGCCCTCTCCCGAGGTCCCGAGGTGGTGGCCCCCCCAGCAGCACCTGCGAAGGCCAGCTCATGGCTGGCAGGGGGGGTCGGGCCTGCCGGGTGCCTGTGACTGGACGTGCCTCAAATATTTTCCGTGCTGTATAAGCACCCACGCTCCGCTCCCACACGCCTGATGGGAGAACAGGTGCCCACTGCCCCCCCCTGCCCACCAGCCCTCCCTTTCTCCTGGACGGTCTTGCTGATAACCAGGTGGCAAAAAAGCAGGAAAAACAGATTTTATTTGATGAACGCATCTGCCCAAGGAATCGGCAACCCCCACTCCATTCCGGAGCCTTAGGGGAAGCTGTTCTCCTTCAATGTTTAGTATGCGATGCTTAAAGTATCAAAATAGTGAAAGAAGCCTCAGCGAGTGCAGAAGGGGAGGGATAGGGGGTCTTGGAGCCAAGGAAGTGGGACCCTGGCAAGAGCTCATGGTAGTGGGCAAGGCACAAGCTGGGGAGGCACGAATAAATGAACTTTGAAAGCTGCAGGCTCAATACTAGAGAAATGGAAAAGTTACAAAAATACTGCAGATCTTGGAAAACAATGCAGGCACTTGGGAAGAAGGAGGAGGGCAGAGCTGGCTGGGGCCGCGGGCGGGGGGAAGCCCTGCAGGAAGGCAAAGAGCAGCTCAGGGATGAACCCACTGCATCCCCCCCATCCTGAACGGAGGAGCTGTGGCTTCCAGCCCTGCCGCTTCCCAGAGGGGGCCAGGCTGAAGAAGATGCTTGGGGGGGGGGCTTAGTGCTGTGGAGGAAGAGGAAGAGGAGAAGAGGAAGATTCAGCCAGCAATAAGGCATTGGAGGTGAAAGGCGACTCCGTGCAAGAGCTGAGCGAGGGACCATGCTGCTCCCTGCACCCCTCGCACAGGAAGAGGGCAAGCTGCCCGCCTCTCCCCACCCTGCACGGAGGAGAGCAAAGCAAGGAGCACAAGTGGGAACAACAAAGGCACATGGAAAAATCCCCTGCATAAAAATCCCCATGGGGCTCTCCAGCCCCGCAGCCCAGGGCTGGCGGGCAAGCCCTGAGCTAGTTAGTACAGCCCCGGCTCCCACCCCAGCCGGGTCCCTCCGGGCGCTCTGGCCGTGCCGTGGGTGCGCGTGAGAAGGTGGGCTGGGCGGCGAAGCGGAGTTGCTGGTGCAGTGCCAGCTTGGAGCAGCAGCTGGGTTAGTCCTGGCGCTCTGGGTGCAGGCAGAGCTCTGGCCTAGCCCAGGCAGCCCTTTGCTTGAGGCGGGTTGTCTTAAATAGGAGCGGATGGGCAGGCGGCAGTCTGTGCGGTGAGTGGGGGGAGGGTGCGGGGCTCAGTTCTGCTCCTCGTCCCGCAGCTCCGAGGGCAGGAACTTGTACTGCTGCTGCCGGATCATGGCCAGCTTCTTCCGCGCCTCCTCCAGCTCCCGCTCCTTGCGCAGCATCTCCTCCTGGGCAGCGATGATCTGCCGGGAAAGAGCTATGGGGTCATGGCTGCCTCCAGAAGGGATGGCAGGAGCCTCTGTCACAGCAACGCCGACCCCAGAGCCAGGCTCTCGGGCTGCTGCTTTCCCCCCATCACAGCCACAGCCTCCCTGGGCTGCTGTGGCCCCAGGCATGAGGGCTGTTGTCCCTGCGGTGGGACCACAGTCCTCGGGAGAAAATAAGCAGCACAGCTCCTGGGGCTCAGCCCCACACGCACGTGGAGGGTCTCAGCTGTGGGCCTGTGGCCAGGAGGCAGTGCTGGGACCTGTGGCAGCTGGTACCAGGCAGCTCTCACCGCTTACCCAATGCTTTGCCCTCCACAGGTGTCATGGACACAGGGATGGTGTGGGCACTGCACCAAGAAGCAGCCAGGGTGTTACTACACCCCTGAGAGCATGCACCATCACCCATGGCTACCTGTGGCAGGATGAGTGTGAAGTCAGTGTTTAACTGGCATTGGGTGGGATGGGTGCACCCACAGCATTTTTGTGAGGTTCTCTGGAGCCCCGTGCTGGCCGGGGGTGGGGTGGGGTGTGTGTGTGCTGGACACACTCCTGGGACAGGCACACACAAGTTGAGGTGGCAGCAAGAGCCACCCCTGCCCCATCAGAGCTGCCTCACTCCTTACCTGTGCAATTCCCCCAACCATCTTCTCCTTCACCACCACCGTTTCGTCATGGTCCTGGAAGGCAGCTGCCTTCTGTGCTGCCTTCACCAGATTGTCTGATGCTCTCTTTACTGCGTTGCCGGCGGCCTGCAGCAGGGAAGGGAGAGGCAGCAGCATTAAGCCACAGCCCCAGGGTAGATCTGCTGTCTGGCGGGGGGGGGGGGGGGGGGGGG